ATATCCTTGAAACAATCGCATTATATAGTCCAAATTTAACAATTGCAAGATTACATATTGATTCCGATACCATTTCCAAATTACCTTACTTCTTAAGTTCATGTATAAATTTAAAATATTTAAAAATTTTAGGACCGAGAAATCAAGAAACTAACGTAAATAATATTTTTAGAGAAATCAGTTTAATTAAATTGGCAAATAATAATTTGGAAGTATTGGGGATTCACGCGTGTTGGACTTTTACTCCGGAAAATTTAGAATTATTCTTGGGATATTTTACTCGACTAAAAAAATTTGAATTATTATGGAGTTCTTGTGTATGTAATGAACATTTTAAAGTATTATTAAATAGATTTTGGTATGGTGGCGTTGATCGTCGTGATTATGATGACGATGAAAATGATTCTTATCAAAGAAGTTTTAAGAAACGTGATAATAGAAAATATAATAATAGGTTCTGGAATAAACGTTATATCATAAATAATGAAAGTTTTGGAAAGAATAATGGAAAAGGTAAGAATAGAGGACGAGGGAAACATAATAATAATAATAATAATAATAATAGATTTGAGAATATACGAAGTTGTAGCAGAAATAGAAGTGATAACGAAATATATGGCGGCGGTGGTGGAGGAAAAGAAGTTAAAAGTATTAGTAAATTAGAATATTTAAGCGTACAAACTAGACATATTATAAACGTCGATTTAATTAGACAAATTCGAAGATTTGTTAAATATGTTAAAGTTTGCAAATGGGAAATCTAAATTTATTAAATTTATTAATTTATTAGATAATTAATAATAGATTTTTATTTTTATCTTTTATTTCATTTGTTTTATATTTTTATATATATATATATATATATATTTTGTTTTCTCAATTTTTGCATTTTGTTGTCTTTTTTCATATTTTTGTTTTTTTTTTATCTTTTCTGTAGTTTTAGTTTTTTTATCTTTTCTGTTGTTTTAGTTTTTTTTATTTTTTTTAAAATAAAGATTTTGCGATTTAAAATAAAAATTTGATTATAAATAAATAATAACCAATTTTTTCAGTTACTTTAATCAATTTATAAGTAATATACAGTATATTATAGTCTATTATTATTACCATTAAAAATATACAGTACAATTGCGTAAAATAAACTTTATCATAATTAAATCATATCTGATCGTTATATTACAATGATGAATTGAATTTCATGTAATTTTCGCGTTTGTCTCGTGATTCTTTTTATGAACTACATAAACTGTAATACAAACACATAATAGGACCACGTTTTTCCCGCTGCTAATATATCTCACTACCGATAACGATATATCTTTTTCACCGGTATGTAAATGATTTTCTTTCATTTAAATTTTAAGTAAATGTAATTCCAGCGAATTAACTTTTTGATTACTTGGGAAATTTATCATTTTTAGTATATATATTGTGTATCTTTTTCACAACCGTGAGGAGATAATTTTTAATGAACAACCTTTACAACCTTTGCAACCTTTACAACCTCACAACCCTTACAAATAAGGTAGCGCAACTGTGGCAAATTGTGGCAAACTGTGGCAAACTGTGACAAATTGTGGCAATTGAGGTTAAAAATTAACATCAAATTTTTTCTTAACATCTTATCAACTTTTTTAAAAAAAATAGTAGTAGTAGTAGTAGTAGTAATAGTAGTATAGTAGTAATGGCTCAAAGACGTGTTAATAATCAACAACAGAATCAAAATTCTAGTAATTTTAATAATCCTAATAATTCTAGTAGTAATTATAGTAATTCTAGAGGTGGTAATGGTGGAGGAGGATTTCGAGGAGGAGTAAGAGGTTTGCATTCACTATGACATATAATTTTATAATTACAAATATTTCAATATATCTATTCATTGTATGTGTGAATGAATTAAAAAATTTATTTATTTATTTTAATTTATAGAAGACAATAATAATAATGATAACAGGAGTAATTGGAATAATAAAACTTGGAATAAAACCAATAATAATAAGAATAAGAATAATAACAATCTTAATAAAAATAGAAATGGAATACGTCAATATCTATCATCATCATCATCACCATCATCACCATCATCATCACCATCATCATCATCATTAAGTAGTATGTCCTCTCAAAATAATACAATCATTATTGATGCTGAAGAATTAGAGAAAAGAAAGAAACGTGCCGCAAGATTTGGAAATTATTTGGATCCAAATCAATTGGTAGGTTTTTATTTACTATTGTTTTTTTTTTTTTTTTAATTTAAATTTACCTTTTGGATAATTTAATTCTTTCTTTTAGGCATCAAGTGGGATTACTGTTAAAAATGAAGAAATGCCAACTACAACTACAACAACAACTACTACTACTATTACAATAAAAAAGGATGATCAAAAAGTAGTTAATGATAATAATAATATTATTATTAAAGAATCCAATTTTAATAATTCCGATAATTCTAATGATTTTAATAATAATAATTCAGATAATATTATTAATAAGACAAAAGAGAAAATAGAACAGGAGATAAGAAAAAAGAAAAAAGATACAATAATCTATACGATGGAAGATGTGATGACATTTTTAGAAGTATTATTAATGGAATGGAAATTAACCGCTCTTTTATCTTCATCTTCTTTCAATTCTTCTTCATCTTCTTTCGATTCTTCATCATCATCACCTTTTTCATATCTATCTTTACCATCATCGTTACCATCACCTTTACTATCATATAATAATTTTTCAATTTCTAAATATACAATGAGAAAACAACAATTACAAAAACAACATCAGCAGCAAAAACAACAACCACCGCAAAAACAAAAACATCATCAAAAACAAAAACAATATCAAAAACAGAACCAACATCGTTCAAGAGCACAAGATTGGTTCATTGAAAAATCTCAACCAATTAATTTAAAAGATTTAGGATATTGGGATAAATTATTTTCTTTATTTGATGTGGTGAAAATTGAAGAAGATGATTATCAAAGACAACTATCATTCTTGGATGATGAACCTGTTCAGAGATTACAAGAATTGAGTATTTATGATTGATTGAATGGACGAACGAATGAATGAATGAATTTATTTAATGGGGGAAGGAGAAGATGGAGTGATACTTTAAATAGTAATTAATTTCAAAAAAAATATAAATAAAATTAAAATTTTTTTATATTTATCATCTTGTTCATAAGAAGAGAGTTTTTGATTTTTTTTTTTTTTTTTAAAAAAAAAAAATTCTTCTTAAAAAATTTATTTTTGTTTTTTTTTGGAAGAAAAAAATCTTTTAAATGTTCATCACATTAATCCTCTCATCCAATCTCTCATCAAGAAATCATAAAATAAAATAAAATTAAAACAAAATAAAATTATAAATTGTTCTTAAAAAAAAATCATGGTAAAGGTAAATTGTCCTTTTTTGTAATATACTGAAATAATTGAATAATAATTAAAATAATTAAAATTTGGATTAAAAAATTGGATTAAAATTGGATTAAATAAAATTAATTATTAATTATAGAAAAAATTAATTAATTATGAAATATTATATACACAAAATTACAAATTATTATCATCTGTTATTAATACAAATTAATACAAAAATTATTAAAAAATAGTAAAATTATTGAAAATTAAAAATTATTAAAAATATTATTAATGTACAAAAAAAATGTTTTTAATATATATATATAAATATTTTACAAATTCGTAGATATATTCGTGTCATATATACATATGTATATAGAGATATATAATAATTGTGATCTATCTGCCAGCAGAAGTCACTAAAAAATTACTTAAAAGTCACCTAGAGATTAAAAATATTTATTAACTATTAATAATATGTAATAATAAATAATAAATAATATAAATCAAATGATGTAACAATAAATATATAATATAATGCTATACCTTTTCTTAGGAAAACAAAGATCAATATCGTCGAGTGACTAATATAAATTAAAAGTTTAGATAAATTATTATTATTTGTCGAGAAAATCCTTTGATCCGTGAACAATTATATATTATTAACTATTCATCTATCTTTTCATTTTCTTTTCATTTCTATTCATATCTTAATCCATTGATTTCATCTTTTGTTCTTTTATATTTTGTTCTTTTTCATTTTTGTTATGATCTTTATAAATTTCCGCGTTTTTTTTAAAAAAATTAAATAAATACGCCTTCATTCTTTTTCCTTATTCTTTGATTAAAATTGTTTTGAAAAGAAAAAAATAATAATATTGCAAATAAGGAAGGAAGAAAGGAAAAAATAAAATAAAATCAAAAGGAATAATTTTTAAAGATTCAAAGTATAAGATAAATAAAAAAATACAAGAAATCAATATATAAAAAAAAAAAGGAATAAAAACTAAAATTTTCAAATGTTAAATGTAAAATATTGCTTTTTAGTCACACGCAATATGAATCTTTG